TATATATCTATATATATATGATCAGCGACGTGCATGTGTAAGTAACCAGTTCTGTTCACATCACGTATGTTCTGCACGACCGTTCACCAGCATGTTCACTATGAACTGTTTGTGTTCCAACGAACGGTCTCATACGCATGCACTAGTCGGTGTTCATGTGTAGAAGATGACCTCTGGGATCTGACCATCCTCTACAGACGTTCCGTTGTTGTTGCCTGCCGCGTAGGTGAAGTGGAAGGTCACCTTGGCACTTGTGAGGGACTCATGCACCATCTTCCTCAGGCCTTTAGTGCCGTAATGGGAATCCGGTCCCTAGCATCAAAGCAGGGGATTAACAACGCGTTTTTTACCACCATACAGCCATTATTACAGCCCATACAGTAGTTGGCATTATATAGCAGAGATCACTACACACCAAAGTTATGAACTTCCAACAGGATGATACATAGGCAAATGAAAATAAACAAACAATATGCGTCTAACGATTAAATTTTTTGTTATCTGTTTCGTATTACATGACATCGCTGCCTAAAACGTTGCATTATATCAGGAGCGTATAATGACAATTGTCATTAATGATAATGATATTTGTCAATAATGATATTTGTCATTATACGCTCCTGATTATATATATATGGAATGTCGGAGACTGATTGTTTACAAAATTGCAGCTTCAATTTTTCAAGAGACGCTATAACGTAACGTAACTTAACTGTAACGTACACGATACAATTCTGAGGCAATTCACAATTCATTTGGCGAGACAACACGGGTGTTTACTAGCGCCTACCTTCAGTGTTGCACAAGCCGTGTAGTTTGTATTGGGTGCGATCTCGACGGGTTCATGAAACATGACGCGAAACGTGCCGTTTGTTCCATCACAGCTGAAACTCGTGTCGTTCTGCCCCATGTGCTTTCCGGTTCCAGTGTGAATGATCTGAAAGAATGCGTGCCAACATTAGATTACGACGACATGCTACACTCTCTACCAACGACCTCTACATATATGGTTACTCGCTAACATTATCTCACTCGGCCAGGCGAATGCATTGCAACCTCGCCTGCCCCGCACCGGCACTCAGTAAATAATGATAGATACTCCCAGCTGGAATTGTGGTTGAAAAGCTATGCGAACATAAATACTCCTCTTACCTGTATATTTACTTGGTACTCCGCCGGTCCGTGGATGGAACCAAACAGACCGAATCCGACGACGAAAACACGTCGATCCACCAAAAACCTGCACCGAGATGTGAACAGAGTTTACTTTGCCATTTATAAGTACATGCACTCACAGTCTTATCCACACATGCCTTAATTAGACTATGACTATGTACAATCAAACCTGCAAATTAATCTCACCTAATAGAAACGCTAACATTATCCGTTTGTACATGCCTAGACTACTTTACAAAAGTTTCACTGGGATAACTGTAACTCAAGGGAAATACCAAGTGTCCTTTACAGACCAATCCATAGAGGTAGAACCACTACATAACTGACACTCAAGGAAAATACCGAGTGTCCTTTACAACAGACAGGTGTCCATTCTGTACAAGTGACTGCTCACGCAGTTAGCCTCTAAACGACATTTCTTCTAGTTCAATAAACACGTGGCTCACCGAATGCGGTCACTCGTACCGCTGTACCCCCATCGTCCCTCAATCTTCTGAAACCGACAGACGGTCTGTTCCTTCCCTGTCATGCAGCAGCGTGGCACGTCCAGAAAGTTGACTAGAGAAAGCGAAACAAACGATCATTCAGATTGTGCGGTGTTGGAAATAGCAGCCCGTCCCCCAGTCCCGGATTGGCTCAGTTTCATGGATTTTACTATAAAATATATAGTAAGAAATTAAAATCTTCGAAAATCAGGACTGGCTGCATTTTCAGACTAATTTCCAAGATTGGATAATGTGTTGGTTACAATGTTACATGATATTGCTATCAACGGTTTCTTATAAGATTAATGACGAAAAATTATCGCATGTTTAGGCAGCACCATCGGAAATACAAAGTGAGCAGCTCTGTTTCTCTTCGCTCTTCTGCTCTGAACATTACCAATGTTATGCAAGTGCATACCTGTAGGCTACACATCAGGCGTACCTCTAGGCTACACATTACACATACCTGTAGGCTACACATCGTGCGTACCTGTAGGCTACACATCGTGCGTACCTGTAGGCTACACATCGTGCGTACCTGTAGGCTACACATCGTGCGTACCTGTAGACTACATATTACGCATACCTGTAGGCTACACATCGTGCGTACCTGTAGGCTACACATCGTGCGTACCTGTAGGCTACACATCGTGCGTACCTGTAGACTACATATTACGCATACCTGTAG